GGGGCCGAGCCCCTCCCCGGGGAGAGCCTAGCCCCGCCCCAGTGAGAGCCGAGCCCCGCCCCAAAGGACAGTCACGCTTCCCTGTCGTCATCTCGGGCTCCGCCCCGCCCGCCAGGAGAAGACCTGAGCCGTGGAAGCCTTGGGTGCCCCCCGCCGAAGGTTCTTCCGTACCCTCTCTTTTCGGCCCTGCGACCCCTGGGCGACCCCGGCCTCCGCTCACCTGAGGTCGGCTAAGCTCCCTCTGTCCCGTGCCCGGACCGAGCACGGGAAAAGAATGTCACCGACAGAAGTCGCGACGGCCTCCCTTTCCTGGCGCAGAACTAGCACGTGGGCAGTTGACGCGCTTGACCCTAGGTCGGCCTCGAAGACCCTGCAGAGGACCACCCCCCTGGTGAACGCCCCAGGACGCCCTGAGAACCTCTCTGACGACCCCCCCTAGGTAGGCCCTGAGGACCCCCGAAGAACCCTCCAGGAAAGCCTGCAGGTCAGCCCCCCAGGACCGTTCAGGAAGGCCTAATGGAGTCCCCCTAGAACTCTGACTTGGACACCCCGAAGGACCCCCCCAGGAAAGCCCTGAGGAGCCCCTGGAGAACCCCTAGGAAGGTTCAGGACACCCCGAGGACCCTTCCCCAAAGAACCCCAAATGAAGGCTCTGAGGACCCCGGAGAATCCCATATAAATGTTAAGGACACACCCCACAGAGCCCTCCCCAGGAGGCCCAAAGGAGTCCCCTCAGGACCCCCTGAGAACTCCCCCAGAGGACATCTCAAGGACCCCTCCCAGAGAATTCCCCAGGATGGGCCCAAGGGAACCCCCCCCACCCCTGATGACCCAGAAGGGTCATAGAATGGGTGATTAGGGGACCAGAGGAGTGATGCAAAATTTACATCACCTGGAACTACTTAAGTCAAGTAGAACCCTGAATTGTGCCTGTCAGCCCTTTCTTTTATCTAAAAGCTGACTTCAAGTCTTTTCTACCTTGCTTGCCCTGAGAAGGGGAAGTCACACTAGGTGTGTCCCTAGTAACCTTGTTTACTGTGTTCAGGGCGTGGGTTGAGGCAGACTGGGGTGGGGGTGTAGAGCACACGAAGCCATCTCTGCACCATCGCTTCCCCCGAAGCAGCTCAGAATGAGAAACTGGGTTCCAGAGGGGGAGGGCCGGGCTGTAATCACAGGCTCATGGGATTATAGGGTCTTCCATTGTGTGGGCCCAACTGCTTTCTGCTCAAGACTGATTTCAATGCCCTGAGGTGCTGAAGCAACTGCCCAGAGTCCAGCCCGAATCTAAGAATTCACCCCAGTGTTTCTGGTCAGATGTGAGGTCTTCCTACTCAGATAGAAGATAGTGACCCTGCCAGGTCCCTGGGCTCGGTCTCTACAAGGTCGTGGCTATTCACCTCCACCTCCATAAGAAGGTCTCCAAGCAGAAAAGAGGGCTGCCTCCTCTGGTCCACACAATCCCATAAACGAGGACGTGCATCTTCTGACAGAAATAGCAATGCTGTGCTTCATAATCATGATCATCTCAGCTCCAGGCAATTGAAAAACAACCGCCTGGTTGGTTTTTCAACCCACCCTCCACCCTGTTCATCAGAACTCTCTTCCTTCAAATAGCAACACACAAACAAAAGCATACTCATCGCTTTACTCACCTACTTAAAGTATTTAATGGCCCCATTGACTCCTTACCATGTCATACAAAGTGTCACAACCCTGTCTTGACCTCCCAGGCTGGCCTCATTTCCTATGCCCACATATCCCTCAATGGGAGCCACCTTAGCCATGCCTCGCTACGTCTCTATCTGTTCAAGATGTCCTGTGCCGGGAAGACCCTCTCCCTAGTCTGTGCAGCACCACCATATTGTTTTATTACAAACACTGGCTTCCGTTGGTGGCCCCTGTACTAGATGTATCCATATCACGTAACAGATATGCTAACACACACCATGGAATCAGCAACTGGGTACTGACTACATGTTTCTCTAATGAAAAAAGTACAAACAAACTGGCTAGAAGGCTAAAAAGAGAGGAACATGAACCACACAGATTTAGAGAAGGCTGGTGGATTATCACCATCACGATCCCAGCCAAGAAGTCTCAGCAAACAAACATGCATCCACTAATGTAATAAATATTTACAGAATGACTGACTAACCCATGTGGTATGTTCTGTGTGGATCCATAGATAGTAAAGCATGAGACTTGCCGCTGTTATATTTCAATCAGTTTTTTAAACCTATCTACTCCCTACTAGGTCCTATTAATAAAATAACCTTTCTCCTCGAGTTGCTTAGAGTACATTAAAATGTACAAAATAACTTGGTTAAATGTCCATCTTTAGAATGGTTAAACTGTGTTCATAATTTGAATGAAGCATAATTCAGTGAAAAGACATATATCTCTATCTGTATATTCTTGACAGCAGGGACAGCTAAAGGCTGTGTACAATAACCCACAAAGATGTTAAAGAATTGAATTCGTGTGCCCATCAGAACAGAAAGAAAAGAATGGCCGTGAGAGCTTGGGAAATCCACACTGGTGGAGAGGAACCAGAGAGGAAGACTGAGGCTGTAGGAGAGAACTATCACACATTGAGCCCTGCAAGCTTTGTGCCCTTGTCACTTTTTCAAACCCTGATACAGAGCTGTACTCTGTATACTAAGAATACTAGGAGGGATACATTCATACCAAAGTGAGGAAAAACTAGATAGAAAAGATCATGTGTTCCAACACCAGACAGGCCTGCAAGAATGAACTCTTTGTTAGTGAGAACTGATAACATTGAAGGAAATAAAGTACAGGCCAAGGCATTTTTCAATAGGTTGCCGCAGAAGCCATAGAAAGCAGTATTTCTTGGACTTAAGAAAACCATGTTAACTTGAGCTGTGCTTATTCTCAGAATCCAGATGTGGAAAACGGCATCTTGCCCGCTGCTCAGAAGAAAATGGTCAAGGTGAACGGAAGGAAGGGAAAATATTCAAAGGCTGAACAAGAGATTCAAGGTGTGAATTAAGAGGCTCAAAGGTTGCCTCCTTTAGTCTCATACATGGGCAAAAGCTGGAAGAACAGCTATCCTTCAGAATTTGTTTAGAATGAAACAAGCAAGCAAACAAGCCATCAAACCAGTGGAACCCCGGGCAGTTCCATCAGTGGCTACATATTCACTGAAGAGGTAACACTGGGCTGTCGGGGGGATTTAAGATGGCTTTCCCGCACGCGCGAGTGTGATTTCTGAGTTGTACACCACAGTCGGAGCGTCACTGGGAGAGGTGGCACTCAGGCACAGAGCCTCTCTCGCTCCGGACAACCCCTCCTGGAGCCGGTGCAGACACTCCTAAAAACTGCAAGCTAAGGAACGTCAGACTCACAATCCTCCTGGCTGAATCCTTTCTGAGAATAGCCGGGGACACAGCTCTTGAGCAATACTTGTTTGTTTACTTGTGCTAAAGAGCAGAGATGACACTTGACTGATTGGAGCGCCGGCCAACAGAGGCCAAGACCACAAGGAGAGTGGGATCTCTCCCCCAATCAGAAAGAGGAGGGGCGGGCCGGGCCGGCCAGCCTGAGGAGCTGAACGCATTCTCAGTGTGACGTGCCTTCCATACTGAGTGTGGCAAAATAACCCGAATGCACTCTGCACTGCTAGTTAATGTTTCATGCCTCGTCTGACAGATTCTTAGAAATAGCTGGACATCGTGACTTCACTAATGCTGGGACGTCATACTCAATTTTTAGGCGTTACCTCAGATCCCCCACGATTATGCTCATGTCAAGTTAGAAAAAAAGGAATATGGCGAGAGTTATTTAAAACGGACACTGGTTTTCTAGAATGATTATTTGATAGTTTAAAAGCACCATGAAGGGGAAGGGTACAGCTCAATGGTAGAGTGCGTGCTTAGCATGCTCAAAGTCCTGGGTTCAATTCCCCAGTACCTCCATTTAATAAATAAATACATATATACATAAAAGCACCATGAGATTCCTGGAGAAAATAGTGAATAAATGTACATGACAGATGTGCTCTTTTCTACTTTATATGGCTTATTTCAAAGAACAGTAATAATTATGTTATTCATTTAAAAATAAACCATACTATGCTTATAATAATGAGCTTAAAATAATTCATGAGTAATGGATTTACCACTCTGAATATTGTTCACTACATTCAACTTCTATTAAACTGTAATCTGAGGGCACGTGAAATTTTTTACATGCACTCAAGCGTACTTGTTTTCAAAAGTGACATGAAGTTACAGGACTTCTCGACTGATTATTTGCATATGAATATAAATTGGTAAACAAATATGATTTATGTATTGTTTATGTCAATATGCTCTTCTTACATGCTCATGAGACATCTGGACACGCCAAGTGCTTTGGATGATTCTCTGAGAAACCCAGAGGGGTGTGTGGTTTTATATTCAAGTAGGAATTCAAGGTAAGGGTGTAACAGTCACTGTAAATGTGGGCTTCAGTATGGGAAAACCCGCAAAGTGTAATCCTGTCCCATCACCAGCACAGCCCTTGAGGGAATCCCTAGGGCAGTGAACCCAAGCCCTGAGGTAATTTGGTAAAGCTTTTTGGATGCCTAAGGGACCAGAAGATATGAAACTCTCCCTCCTTTCCCCCTACCTCCATATGCCTGACATTGATTTTTTTCACTCTTCTTGCATTTGGAAAGGTTGTCCAACAAGAGAACGAAAAGTCTATTTCTTACAAAGTAGCAATTAAGCCAAAAAAGCACTCACCAGTCAATACTTAATATCATAAAAACCCAGGGGAAAAAAAAGCAACACACAGTCCACAGTCTCTTAAGACTTCAAAACTGATCATTTTGTGTTTGGCAGAAGGTAGGCACGTAATAAGCACTTACTGGAATTTATTACCCCCACCCCAGCTTCACAGAATAAATA